TCAAAATTCTTTAAAAATATTTTATTACTAGAAAATATATTCATTAATAATTACATGTATAGTACATGCATGGATATTAACCTATGCAGGAGCGTCACTCAGGTGCATCACGAGGATTAATTAATTAAGCACAGGCAATAGAAAACAAAATTTGTTATTCAATGGAATTTTCTATTTCTTTTTAACATCAATTTCTCAGTTTTTAAAGTTATGATAATTTGTCAAACTAAGTCGCCTTCTCACGCTTGTGTCGAAAGGCTTAAATAACAATAGTTTTTTAGATTAATGTTAATATACATAGAAATAAATTAATAAATATAGGAAAATTTAAAAAGGCATTGCAATAATATTTAATAATATTTAAAAATTCATACATTATATATTTTTTTTTTTACTCTTTAATTTTATAACTTTACTTTTTGAAGGAATATAATTTATTCTTGTTCCATATTGATTAATTAAGAAGGTAGTATATTTGAGCACAAAATTTAAATTTAATCCTTGATTCTAATTTAAAAGGTAAGGAGGTTTTTATATTTTTACTATAACGCATCTTCAGTTTATTAGATCAAGAGGAGGAGGTTACGTGTATAAATATATCACGTGGAAACTATATATTTTATTATTAACTTCTTTTTATCATGACAAATATTTTATTAAGATGTGCAAATCAGTTTGGATACTTTTCGAGAATTGCGATGCTAAATGAAAAGAAAAAGACGATAGGCTTTACAATTCAAGAATGCACTACAAAATTTGTTTTTTTAGCAAGGTTAGTTTTTTAAATGTTTGTATATCTTTTGTCAGGACTTATAGGAAGTAATATATTGTTAGGAACATAAGTTTGATATCAATAGACGAACCCCAAATGATAGAAAAGAAACTTATATCTGAAAAAATTGCTGCTATATCTAGCCATGTAAGCCGACATAAATGGATACAGAAAGAAGAAATTACAAGCATAACAGATAATATTAATTTGTTATGTAAGTATATAATGTAAATTATATGTATTCATATGTGCTATTTCAATGTTATACATAATATATACTACCTTTTTCATGTGCAATTTGTGCATATTATTAATGTTTTCTTTTTTTAGTAAAAAGTTGAAAAGTTTATATAATTAGAATTACCATACTTGTATAATAGAAACTTTATATGTCATATTTATATAATTTTAAATTGTTTTCAATGCAGATATTATGAATAAACATCAAGTACTTTTATTATTGGATTGGTGTAATAAAGTGATTGACTGTTTACCATTAGATAAAGTTGAACTTGGAAAATCTTTATGGTTACATCTCACTGCACTCAGTATGTTCTTAATGATCTATTCTTGTTTATTAATATTAAATTTATTAGTACAACATTTCTATGAAAAATGTAAACTTTATATCTTTTTTACTTTGGGTCAAAAGATTTCAGATTACAAATAAGCCATTACAATGCACTTTTAAAATTATATGTAAAAAATGAGTATGATTTTTCACCTATGAAATTATTAAAGGACATGATAAATAATGGAATTCATCCAGATGAAAGGACATATGAAACATGTATTGAATATTACTGTATGAAAGGCAATATTAGTGAGGCACTAACACTTCTGGAAAATATGCAAAGGATGCAGCTTCCTTTATCAGAATCTATTTTTAATTTATTATTGATGGGATATTCTCAATCTGGGTAAATGTATATAACTGATTGAATAAATAATATCTACTTTTGAATATGCAATTAAAAATAAGACTTACTTTCAAAATATAATTTGAATTTATATACTTTTCAGAAATATAGAAAGTGCATTTGCAGTTTTAAATAGTATGAAACAAAAGAAAATAAAACTAACTACTGAAACATACGCTGCTGTTATGTGTGCTTATGCTAAATTAAATGATATTGATAAAATCAAAGGAATAATCAAAGCTTGTAATTTAAAGAATATACATTTCACTAATAAATATATTTTAAATGTGATTTATACATTAGCAACAAATGACACCAATTCAAGCAAAGTTTCCTCCACACATATTGAAACTGTAAGAACTTCTAGGAATTTCATAATAAAATTTTATTGTCATGTACTATAAAATGTAATAATTCAGTGTTTCTAATTTTTATTTTAGATGTGTCAGTATTTAAAAAAAAAATCCATTATTTCCACTGATGAAGTACAAATTCTATTAAAATTAGTAGCTATTAATGAAACAGATGTAGTTATGACTGCCCTTTCTTATATATGTTTAGACACTAATACATCTCAATATAAAGATATTATGAAATTAATATTACAACAAATTGTTAATAAAAGCATGGTGAGAATAATATATTTTTTTCTTGCTAATTTCTTAATATTTTATTATTTACTCATTGTAATATATATATTGTTTTAGGTTGCTAATGAAATTATTAAACTATGTACTGTTTTTAAAAATGAAAAAGCATTTAAGGAGTTATTGTTAATGTCATTGTATTATTCATTATTGAAAAATGATTGTGTGTCTCTTCCTTTACTTAGAGAATGTAAACTTCATTGCATAATAAGACCACATTATTTTTGGCCACTTTTAATTAAGCAGGCATATAAATATGATGTACAAGGTATACACTTTAAATATAAATGTATAAATTATATAGAAGTTTGTCAATGCTGGTAACACAACTGTATATATATTTATATGTAATGAAACTAAATATATCGTTCTTCTGCTTTTAGGCATTTTAAATGTTATCAAAATTATGGTCAATGACTTTAATGTATTACCTTGTATTGATACAGTTACTGATTATGTTTTACCATTTACTTTTGGAAATGTGCCATATGTGAGAAGTTTATTAATGAAATATGGAATAAATGAATCAACTATCAATAATGCTTATGTTTTATTAATGTTGAAAAAATTCAAGTCAAAAGAGGCTGCTATGTACTGTAAGTGTTAAAGACTCTCTCAATATAGTGAAAAATTTCACATATACACAAACAGTAAGTATGCAGAGAGTAATATTGATTGTTTTCTGATTATAGTAGAAAACTTTCCTGGTAAATATTATTATAGAATAATTGCTCATGACCTTAGACATACTACAATTTATAAAAATGATGTATACAATTTTGTATACATTAGTCTTAATTTAATAGAAAACATGGATTTAGATACAACATTTAAGTCGAATAATGAATCATTTGAACCAACATTTGTGTCTATGGATAAACAGTTATGTGATCTGATGATTGATTTTCCAGGTCATAAAGGGTGGTTTACAAAGGTACAGAATTAAAGTAGATTATAAATGTTATTTAAATTATTGTGACGTAGTTGTTGTTTTTTTAAAGTTATTTTTGTTACTTATAGCATTGTAAACAATATATCTATAAATTGAAGGGTATATCATGATTTGTTAGAAACATACTTTAAATTATTGAATATTGAATATTTTGTTATTACTGTTTTAGGTATTAGATTATGTTGCAAAGAAAGGTATTAATTTAAAACCTCAGACAATACAAACAATAAACGAATTTTTATAGGAATGTACGACAGATAATGCAAAACATATATTATAAAATGTGTGAAATAAAATGATACGGAAGTATTTGTCTATAATCATTTTGTTGATTGTTTATTACATTTTTTGTTTTTTTGGTATTCACATTTTTTTGTGTTTTTTGTTGAATAGTAGGTATAAAGAATAAAATTAATCCACTAACAGTAATCATACCACCAGCAGTAAAGAATCCAGGATTATAAGATTCTAGTGCGTCATATAACCACCCTAAAAAACATAAGTTATAAAAAAGTTATAAAACTAAAAGTTGTAAATTATAAATATACCAGCAATTGGTGGTCCTAAAAGTGATGCAAAGCCTTGAAATAATAAGAGTTGACCAAAAGCATTTGTAAGACGATTTAAACCCAATAAATCTACTAATATCACAGATGTAAGACCGACATAAGCGCCAGATGTAAATCCAAACATAAAAGAATAAAGTATGAATGATTCAAAAGATGTACAAAATGTGCTAAGAATTGTAGCTGAAAAAATAAAAATGCTTCAGAACTATGCATGTTTTTATTCAAATAACATTAAGTCATCAATATTATTCAATTAAGAGATTTGATTAAATATTAAGAATAATACTTACAAATACCACATATTGTAAGACATAAATTATATATGAGTAATCGATTAACCCATGGTTTATCTGATACATATCCTAAGATTATACGGCCCACAGTATTAGCAATTCCAATTACTGCAAGAAGGTAACTTGCATCTTTTTTATCGATTCCTTGTTCTTCGGCTTGGGGCTACATAAATATATAAATTTTAAATATTGATTTTGAAATTTGTAGTTTATAAGCAAAAGTCAATTATAAATATAATAGAAACATTTATAATTCGGAAATTTTTAATATTAAAAGATTATGAATTATTTCAATGAAAATCTGTATACATACCAATACATACACATACGGTACATAGAATCCAATACTGGTGCAAAAATTTGAGAAAGTAAATAATATGAATACTGGATCCTTTAACACAGAAATATCTAATTTCTCTTGTAAAGTATTTATTTTTCTTTCAATATATACTTTAAATTCTCTATTTTCTGCTTTTGTATGTTCTGTTTTATTCGGTAAACTAGCTAAACCTCGAATAAGTAGAGTTATAGAAAAAAATACCGACTGCTGTTTGCTAATGTTCTCAAAATTGTCTTGTTGTATCGCATCATTTGAAATCAAAACGGGTTGACTTAGAGATTTTATACCGGTACTATTTTCCTCCTTTCGAAAACTCACACTATGCAATTTTTTACTATTTAAACTGTTCGAATATTCTCGAAGACCTTTCTTCGAGATCGGCAACGATTTCTGAAAATCGAATGATATATCGAGGATAGTATCATACTGTTAACTTCAATATAGAAAAGAATGTTCCGATTAAACGCATGTTTTACACTTTGTTTTAATGTACCGGTTTAAACATATACATTTTATAAATTGCGTGCATGTTCGTTTTAATTTTTCGTAATTCTATTTTACGATGCTATTCGTTACGCGTTGTATCGCTCTGTTATTAAGCTTTTTATAATAATACATACAAGAATCCTGTACCTCTGAAGAACTTCTCTTTATCGGTTTGTTCGTTTCAAGGGGTCTAAAGAGTATTCCAAGAACGGTACAATTCAAAACGATCCCAGAACAAATCAACATTGTTCCACGCCATCCATATAATGCTATAAGGTAATCTAAGCAAGGGGCGAAAATTAATGTGCCTAAGCCCGAACCGCACACTGCAATTCCCGTTGCAAGGGAACGATACTTCTCAAAGTAACATGTTACACTTACGATCGCAGGTAAATAAATTAAGCCAAAACCTAGGCCTGTAATTTTTCATTTATCACTATGTAAAATGTTGAAAGGAAAATTATATTAAATAAGAAATGCATTTTTCACATCACCTGTTCCTATGCCGATCGAAAAGTACAGTGTTACAATACTTCGAGCCCACATACTCGCCAGTAGGCACGCACTCGCCAATATTGAGCCGGCTATAGTCACAGCTCGACATCCAAATTTATTCACAAATAAGCTTGATATTGGACCTTAAATAAGTTGTTCGTTACGCTTTTCTGAAACCGTATAGTATCGTGGATTATCAAAGATTTACCTGAGCACAAAGTGACTCCAACTAAGATCGATGCGACCCATGCAGTTGCTCCTTTTCCTTCTTCGAAATAGTGCAAAAGTTCTAAGTAAAATACTCCGAAAGAGTATGTCACACCATCCGCTGTAACAAGAAAAAGTTTTTCTTTATGTAAAATAGTACACGAACAAATCATCAACTAAAACAATTATATCGAAAACAGTCTAATCAAGATATTTGAGCAAAATTATTTTATTTAATAAAAGTTAGTAGTGAAAGTTATGTAAAATATGAAATTCATTTAATATAATTAGTTACTGAAAATTGCGGCATTATTTTCCCCTGTTTGTGCTATCACTAGAATGAGTTCATTACGATTATTATTGCGAAACTGTTTTTATTTTATTCTCTTTTCAATTCTAGCTACAATGTGTGCAATCAACTATTGCGATATTAAGTATTAAGTATTACACAGTATTTAACAAGAATATTAAACGAACACAATTACTCAAGTGTATAGATTCAAATTTTACTATGAAAAGTAAGGTATATTTTTTCCCTTAATTTATTCATATTCCGGTGGCAAAATAATATTTGCAAATTTGTAAAAATATACATTTACATACATTGCAGGAACGTATCGTAATCATAAGCTAAGTGGTATTGGAATTTCCATATTTTCCACAATAAAGAATACCTAATGTTCCGTTTTGAAATAAGTATAATGCATCTTCTAAGGAGTTACCAATACACGAAAAGCAAACTGTTCGTATCATGTTCTGATTTTATGTATCATAAAGCTACTGTTATGCGTAATCAGAGTTTCTTTGTATGCGTATGTTTTCATACATACGGTAAGTGACGAGCAAAGTGCAATAACTCAACAATAATACAGCTCGATCACGGGCATTGTCTTTGTGATGAAATCATAATAAAATCATCACTGAAATGTATCCGTTAGGTAAAATATTCGTAGTATTTTTTTTTTTTATTTTATGAACAAGAATAATTTCGGCGATCGTTATAATTCCCCTTTTTGTACTTATATTGTCATCGATAACGTTATTACCATCGATTCTTCGGTGTAGATACAGTCATTTTTTAATTGTATTTTTAATACAGCATCTAATAGGAGTCTATGACGAAAACAAGCAAGCTTATTTAATGAAAATATTATTTTTATACGTATTATAGATAAGACGCCGAAATGAAACATAGATAAAACTGTATATCATTTAGACGTTTGTATAATGTCACGGTCATCGCTTCTTTTTAATTTATTTCATCGACTTCTAGGATGCTTAGACATTTTGTAGAACATTACGATGTACTAACGATTGATTAAAATCTGCTTGTGAAAAATCTCATTCAATATTCACACTTTCATGTACAAATAGTCTTATCCTGATGATGTAAATATTTCTAGTATATTTTTCGCGCTATTGTTACGTGTATTAATATCAGAAGAAAAGAAAACGATTGTATTTCATGATTTCATGAAAGATGTTCATGTTTTTGCGAAAGTTAAAACCAGGAAGAAATCGAAGACGCATGCACAAGCATGTTTTCAAGGACGTTTTTTTTTTTTTTTCTTTCAAATCATCACTTACAAGTTGACATACATATTTGCTTTTGCGCATAATGCAACGCATGTTTAATTTATTGTATTTGGAGATATTCTGTTTTGAAACAAGCACGCAATGTTGAACACATGTTGTAAATCTGTATGTCCCTGTATTAGAGAAAACTCAACCAGCGTTCCTTAAGTACAGCTCTTCTTCTCTCGCAATTCAGCATTTACATATCTACACTTCAAACGAGATAGAGGGTTTAAAGATTAGGAAACAATCTCTGTTGATCCTCTTTGATTTGTTCGTTATGCTGAACTAAAATACCGCATATAAGGCTATATACAATGTTGCTTATGCAGTCGTGAGCGACAAAAGAGTATAACAGATTAAAATATTTTTTTTTAGTTTAAATATTATTGAAGGGTTTAAAAGAAATCGGTAACTCAAAATTAATAATATTTCTTGAATGTTATCTTAGAAATATAGAAAACCGTTCGTGTAATTAATTTTTTATTGCTTTCATTTTATCGGGGAGTAGTTTATTTGTTCGAAATTAATAAAGATACCATACAACCGATTAATACGGCCAAAACGTGACCATAATGGTAACAACATGACAATAACGATAAAGCAATCCTAAAAAAGATGTATAAATGTTTAAAAATAAATCAGCATTTTAGCGGGGTGTCTATTATAATCAACGGCATAATAATTAAGTCGTTAAATGAATAAAAAATTCATCTGGTGTGTGTAATTAATTTTTCATTCAAAATAAATTTTTTTATCGTATAAGGTAAATTTAAAACGGATAAACGGTGCTCGTGTTGAAATTAATTTATTTGAAAAACGTCTAACAGAAACACAAGATTTGAAGTAAAATCTTAACCACGTGATACACTTTTTGAAACATCTAAATGTTTAGAATTTCATGAAAATGCAATGAAATGACAAATTAATTGCTTACCGATTACGTGAATTAAAAATGATGCTAGAACTACGAAATAGCCCCATCCTCCGTCCGGTGGTAAGGGTTGCCTGGTTGCAGATGACACTGAGTAGTCCATTGATGTACAGCCGATATTTTCACTTGCATTTTTTTTATCTTGCTTATTTGCCTCGACGGAGGAGCAATCAGTCGCGTGTGCCATGAGCTGCAAATGTCGAACTTAGTGAACGTTGTTTCTCGCGATATCAAGCATCGAAGTTTTAAGTTGGTGGCCATATAGTGGAAGGGAACGAAGAAGAGAAGGGGAGATCGAAGCAAACTCGAGGAACGTGTTACATTTCATTCCATAGAAAATTCGATGCATGAAATAAAGAATTGTTTCTACCATGAAATAATAGACGATGTCTGCTGTATTATTAAAAGATGGTATTAATCGTGGCAATTTAAAAGTTAGATAGGAAAACATGATTTTTGAATAAGCGCGCTGCGCTCCCCACTATATCGTTTCATGCAACCACGTGGAACTTTAAAAGGGATAAATTTTATATTTGAACATATTTATTCAATGTAAATTTGCAAAGTAATTTAACTCAATTTAAGCTTTTAAATTGTAATTAATTTGCTTTTGAATAAATTTGCCACTCGTAGTCTTTTTCGAAAGAACGCGTAAATAGTTTCAGCATGATGCGACTTTCTTTAGTATGCCGTGGTAATTAAATAATGGTATTTAATGTATAATAAAACATGTTAAACTCAAAGAAAGGGAATAGGCAGAAATGTTCATTTGAATATAGACATTTATTGGTTTTTATAACTGTTTCACTTCTTAATACAGAGTAGGTCTTCTGTTAACTTGCTAACATAAAATCAGCTAACTGTCCTATCAATATCTTCATGTTCTCTTGGATGATCATTTACTTGTGGACGTGATTCATAAGTACAAATGGTAACACCATGTTGGTGACCAGGTGACCATTCTCCTTTTAATCCAATATAATAAATTTTGATTTTATCTGAGCCTTCAATACCAGTAAAATGTAAACTTAGATGATGCACTGATGAAAATTTCACTACCCTGTAATAAAAATTGTGTTCAATTTTTATATTATCATAATTTTATGAAATGATAAATACATAATATGATAACATATATATATACTTAAGAGAATACTCATGTACTCCAGTACTATCTACACATAGTTCAAATTCTTGTTCAGGTTCTGTGACCACATCATCAAATGTCATACGTGGTCGATTTTTATATCTGTATCAATTAAATATTTTATTCAATATTAGTCAAATTAAGATTAAAAGTTAATTTTATAGGTTAAATTTTATTTCAAGCATGTCAAAATACAAAATATAAAATTACTTACAACTTTACTTTATTTGCATGTAAATCATCTTCTCCTCCAATAATGATGAGACCTTTTAGCTTTACATTTCCTGTGAAACTGAAGAAAAATAACAGTATTCATATATTCTTAATAAAATAATATCAGAATAAAGAAACATACGGAATATTAAATAAGAGTTCATTATCCACATCACTTTCGACATACTGAAACAAGATTAATTATGGTATACAATATTATATTAATGCAATTTAAAGAATTCTTGTACTAAATATTAAAATAATTTAAATAGTTACTTTATTTCTGTCTAATCTGTTTTCCCATGGTTTAAATACAACAGCTCCACTACCTTCTTCACATTCATTTAAACATTCTATATTTTCTATGTCAATTTTTTGGTATAAATTATATTGTACACCCAATTCTACATTATTATGTATATCTCCACAACTACATTGGTGTGCCATTGTAAAAAGGTCTATAAAAATTATAAATAATGTGATTGTTCAATAATAAACACTGGTAATAGATGTGCTAACATAACATGGTAATAATAAATTGCAATAAGTTTATTCTTTCAAAATATTTTATTGATAGCAAGAAAACTTAATATAATAAAACATTCGTGAGTTATTAATGTATAAAGGTAATGTGTAAATTGTACAGTTAGTATTGTCATTTTTTTCAGTTGATATTTGTCATAAACTGCAAATAAATAAAGTGAACAAAATAATCATACATTAATAAGAATAAAATTCAATCAGTAATATTTAAATTTTAAATACGAAAGAATAAATGTATCAAAGAACTAACGCAATGTGCAACGTGACAGCTACGTTTAAGGTACTGGAAATGACAATCGGAATTACGTACAGCTATATTTTAGTGTTTTAAATACATGCATACAAATTAACTGTATATACGTTATTATTTATCGGTAATGTGGAAATAAATTACAAATAGCACTAATTACTTATACAATTAACATTATCAATAAAAAGTTAAAAGAAATACTTATAGATAAGGAATTATAAGTTAATATCAGTTCTAAGTTTGAATTTTAAAGCTAATGAAAAAATTGTCAAATATTTCTCTGCTAGTAGCTTTATTTCAAAATAAGCATTAATGCAAAAATTGAAAGCTTAAAATTTTACATTTTATTTATGAATATCTATTTTTATTTGAGTACATTTGAATTTTTTTTTGTATATGCATCGAAGATCCCGTTTCCGTTAGAAGAGTAAATGTATTTCCTTAGTAATATATACTATTTCTATTACTCTGGTTGCATTTTATATTTACTTTTATATTACATTTTGTGCAACATATATGGATCTTTTATATTTACAAATTAGTTTTTGAAAGGTTATTTTTATGTTTAATAATATATTAATAATGCTTGAACACATTTTTTATAGTGTTTATCACTGTATGTTGGCAATATTAAACGTTTCATATACAACTTCATTGTGTTAGCAGTATTGTTTTCTGTACATTTAGTACTTACTTCAGTCGTATGCAGTAGGGCGACCTAGGGTTAGCTTTTAAGAATGTGTAAAACAAAATAAGTGTAAATATTAACATAGTGACGTTTACAAGAAAAATAATTGTATAAAACATAACGAGCGACTTGTATTGTTTAGCTTTTAAATGCTTTGTCGATTCTTTGTCAACTGTGCTTGTATTCGTCAATGCCTAACTGATTAATGGTGATTCCATAGCAAATGAATATTTGCATGCTGCAGTTATGTGCTTCCATTGTGAAAACATAATTGTTTTATGGTGATAATATGTCAAAATCAAACATAAGGAAGATAACGGTTGACCCTACGAAATGTAATACAGACTCTCGTCGACCAAGTGTGTTTGAGAGGTTGGGGACCAAACCAGCAGTTACTGCCGGCCAAAATTCGTCGGATTATTGTAGAAACTGGGCACTAAACGGCAGCTGTTCGTACGGAAAGAATTGCAAGCAAGTATAATTTTGAAGTTAATATACTTTGCAAAAAGAATTAAATATATGTTTATCCCTTGTACTGATGAATAATGAAATTACATGTCAAGTTCATTATTTAGAGAATAGAGTAAGAATTATCACTCATTCAATTTAAGATGATCAACATTTTCTTTTCTTGATATTGCAACTAGATATGCAAATACTCACACATTAATAAGTCCGTCCAAGCGTGCCAAAAAGGATAATGCTATTGCAAGTACAGCGGGAGTAAGTGTATAATTTATATTATAATATTTAGGGAGGACAATATCCAATTAAAGATTTAAAACTGTATTCTTATTTTATTTGAAGATAGATATTTACATATATGTTTATCAATATGTAGCTCATTGAGGATCCATTTAAAAGGCTTACTTCTAAGATCGTAAAAAAGGCATCGCATAGTCCTGATTTAAATTTGGAAGAGTGGAATCAAACAGATTTGGAATACGAGGACGAAAAAGTATTAGAAAGACGCAGACAACTGTTACAGCGTGAACTAGAATTACAAATGAAGAAAGATAAAGAAGTTCATGGAAAAGACAAAGTGAGACAGAAGAAAAAGGCTATGACTTCTTCATCTAGTTCTCATACTTCAAGTACATCTAGTAGTAGTAGTAGTTCTAGCAGTGAAGATTCATCTTCTAGTTCCACATCTGATTCACGTAAAAAGGTTAAAAAAATTAAATCTAAGCGACATCATAGTGGTTCTACAGATTATGATGAAGATAAAGAAAGAAAAAGAAAGTAAGTTGTAATATATATTATTTTACATAAAATAATACATACTTTAAGAAAATTTTTATTTTTGGATTAGTAATTAATTTTGTTAAAAATGTATTATTTTTTTCAATATGAGCACTTGCAAATGATGTTTTATATTTTTAATTTTTGTTTTCAACTACATAAAGTTTTGTGTAGTTTTACTAAAGTGTAATAATCTTAACAGATTAAAGTTGAAAAGACTTGGAACAAAAAATGAGAAACCATCAATTAAGAAAAAACGTAAATTTGAAAGTAGTTCTGTAAAAAAGGATATTAGTGTTAGATCAGCAAAGAAATACAGCTCATCTTCAACATCAAGAAAACATTCTTCCACACCTCGTGCAAGATCACCAGCAATACAAGTATCTACAGCAGTAACATCTACAACAACAACAGTATTGGGTTCTTCAATATCTGTGCCTCACCATGGAACATCTAATAAAGTTAGAGAAAGAAATAGAAGTGAATCTCCCAAAGTAACAAAAAGTAGAGATATAGATAAAGAAGATAGGCATTATAAAAAAGTACGAGATGTAGATGAATTATCTAAAGATAGTGCTAAAAGTAAATCTTTTGATAAAGTTAAAGAACAAGATAAAGAAAAGAATCGTACGATAGACGAAAAAATAAAAACTGATGAAAGATTAAAGGCGAAATGTAAAGATAAAGATATACGTTCTAGGACACCTCCAACATCTGAAAGATCGAAACATCAACATTCAAAAGAAGCAATATCAACAAAAACTCGGCGCAGTCGTACGCCTGAAAAATCAAGATCCAAACGAGAGCTTACACCATCAAAGGCTCAGGATAGACAGATTGGTACAACAAACAGATCTCGAGATACAGAGAAGAGAGATCGTGAATCACATAAAAGTGATAAAACTAAAGATAGGGAAGATATAAGAAAAAATGAGCAGAATAGTAAAACTAGGCCAGTATCGAGTCAAGAAGAGAGTCATAGAAGGATTGGTAAAGAATTTGATGATAAAGCTTATTTGACTGATAAAACACGACAAAAGAGCAGAGAACGGCGTGATAAAGACCATACAAGAGATGAGCGTGGGCATTCGAGACTTGGTCGAGATCAACGAGACACTCGTGATAAAGATAAAGAAGATCTACCAGAACGTTGTCGCGAACGACCACGGGAGAGAGATCGTGATCGTGATAGAGACCGAGAACGTGATCGCGATCGTGAGAGAGACAGAGATCGAGATCGTGAACGCGATCGGGATCGGGATCGTGATCGGGATAGAGATCGGGATCGTGATCGTGATCGAGATCGTGACCGTGATAGAGAAAAGGAACCGATAAAAGCAAGAGATAGAGATGTTCCACCTTTAGTTTCAACGTCGATGAGTTTAACAACGGATAAAAATTCTCGATATAGTCGGGACAAAGAACGAATAGTGGTAAAAGATAATGCCTTTGAAAAGAATGGTACCCGAGAACGTAGGAATGATAGAGAAAGGGAACGGTCTGAAACGAAAGCGCTTTCTGATAGAGACAGAACATCTCAACGTATTGATAATAGATACGATAGAAATACTGTAGATAAGGATGCACCTATTCGTAAACCTGGTGTAAATTCACCAAGAGACCGTGTTGATCGTTTTCCACGAGAAAGATCTTTGGATAGAGCATCATTGCTTGATAAAGGTGTCCATAATGTCCCACCGTTATCGCAAACACCTGCTTTACCAGCAGTTCAGTCTTCTATAGCATCTTCTGCAGCTTCATCTGCACCACCTACATTGTCAACATCACGAGACAATTTAATTGATAGAATAGATGTCGGACATTATGATCGTGAAAGACATAGGCGATTTGGTACAAGATATGACCGAAGTCATACATCTGAACACGAACAGTCACGTGTTACACCAACAAAAGTTGATCGTTTAATCGAAAGACGGGAGACTAGTCCACGACGCACGATTGAAATTGATAGAAATTATAATAGAAATTATGGACGTTTGTCAGAACATTGGGATGAGCAGGAGGAAGCACCTGCACATATAGACTATCGTGATCATCATGTTCACGATGATGATAGAAGAAAACCTGTGGATGGAAGGAGATATGATAGTCCGTTTGATGAAAGACGTGGAATTCGCGAAGAAAGATCTCGAGAATCTAGATATGTTGTTCAGACTACGGATAGAACGTCCTTTGATGATCATCGACATCATCACCATCATCATAGACATCCACTTTATTCTGGAGAAAAATTAAGAAGTAATACTGCAATTCGGTATGTTAATTATCAAATTTTTAAAAATAATTTTTTTGTTTAGAAAAATTACATCCATGTTAAAAAGGATAACAATAAATTGGAATTTTGTTAACTTTTGTGTTTATTTTAATTAGAGATGAAAATGTTCCTAATGATGATTGGGATTGTCACCATCGTGATGTAGAACATGGTAGAGAACGAACTTATGGTCCTGTTGATTGGGAAGAAAGAGAATGGCGTGTAAGAGCACCATGGGATAGCAGAGACAGTCTTCCCCGATCAGAAGTGCATGACGATGACTGGAATTCCCGATATGATAATTCTGTGTCTGATTGGAAATCAAGTGACTCTCGAAAATGGGATAATCAATCAGTGCATATTCGCAGCCACTATAGAAATGATCGATCTAAGGAATTAGAATTAGCAGAATCTACATCGCATAAGTACGTTATAAGCCAGTCTTGATTAATTAATATATTATACCATGCATTTATAATACAGTAGACTTTGGGGATAAATGTAATCAAATATTTTGTTGCTTTTCCAGTAAAAGAAGAACTTACAACAGTTCAGAAACTAGAGATGAATGTGTAGTTCATAACTCCAAGCAAACATCTTTATATGGTAGCATGAAAGAGGAACCTATCAATAAAAAGCTAATGGAACTTGCTGAAGGTAAATTGTCTACAACTCGAGAAAAACCTACAGACACTTTTCAGAAGAAGCCTGCACCAAAAGAAAAGTCTGAAACAAAGGAAACTGTTACATCTGAAACAAAACGTTCTGGTATTGACGAATCTTTGCAAACGCTTCATACTGAAAGCGATCTTAGTGATATTAGTGATGATCCAGATGACATATTAAACATGGAAGATATTACGGTGTGTTTTCCTTTTTGGTTTATATAATTAATGCAGATCATTACATGAATACATTTTTATTATTGGCATTTACAGGATATGGACGCAAATAAACCGCGAGCAACTAAGAAAACTCCTGATACTGCACAACGAGATGGTCAGCCAACAATCCAAGAGACAGATCCCTCGTCTCCAAAGGAAACGATAGAAGAAACAGTTTTTCATGCAAAAGGAAAAGATAATACTGACACAATATCATTTAGGTACTATTTTTAATTTCTAAAGTTTCTACATTACTGTTATATATAATGCATACTAATAATATTAACATAATTAAAATTGTGCATAGAAATATGGAAGATGAAAACATGGAAACAATGGACTTTGAAGAAATTTCCGATGGTGAATTGGAAGAAGATATAAAAACAAGTGGTAAAGGTTTAGGTGATGCTTTGGGAGTTGATTGGGAAAGTCTTGTTAAGGAAACACAACCTCGGAAATCTACATCATGCAATCAGAATTCAGAAAATCGTTGGCAATGTAAAGCAATTCTACATAGAATTGGTGTTTCTGCGAAATACGCAGGCGAGGATCTGATAAAAAAAATGACAAAAAAATATGGGAAAGACGGTATGTTGTTTAATGAGTTATAGTTTGATTCGAATTACTGTAATTATATCTGTCTAACTAAATCTTTTTTTTTCCCAGATCACTCGGAATTTTTCCTTCACAATGTTGGATTTATGCATACAGCACTTGCACGAAATCGCTTGTTGCGTGACTTAAACAATGACATGCTACCTACGGTGGATGATTTTCTGTATAGGTAAGTAACATTATATAATTTTTTAACAAACAATACGATGTTATGATATATAACATTATTCTGTTACAGAAATAATAATGTAAATATTGATGAGGATGTGGATTACGATTTAGAAGTGTTAAGACCTTGTACAGCTTTATATGAAGAAGCAAAATGTTTGTTACAACAAGCTGTATGAAAAAACGCTTTTATTTATAGGAAATGACTCCCAAAATTGCACTTTGCTACTATAGTACATACAATATAGTATAGGGCACAAGTGCATCATTTTGTTACTTGCTAGTCTGGTTCAGCTATTTAGCCATTTGTTGCTGCCAACTTAGCCATCAGCGGTGCAATGTAAAAAGAAATTAAATTGATACGTTTTTCTTAACATCTAGTTCTTTAATTGTCCATAACTAAATGTCTTTTTGTATATTATTCAATCTTTATGTATCCTTTATTGAAATTATAATTGATGATACACATTATAATGGTGACAAATTTGAAAAATATAACGATTTGATATCAAGAAGATTATATTAATCATATCTTGTATACTCGTTTCTTTTAATGTAGAAGTTTTTAGCGAATATATATTTCCAGAAACATCTTTTTTTTAAACTTATGTGTTTTCTCATATCTTTTCTGCTAACATTTACTATTCTTTTAAGTACTTTTATTATGTGATTAATTAAATTGTACATTATTTATAGGAAATATTTTCTTTATATATTTCTTTACACAGTAATTAATTGTTTAAAATATTTTTGATCATATTGGAAATTAGCAGTTGAAAGAATATCATTTTGCAATATAGTAACTGCTTTTTCTAACAAATGTTGATTTTCATTGACCTAAAATGATGTATAATGTAAGGATGAAAATTATTAAGACAATACAACAAGGAATAAAGTAATGCAGAAATATAAATGTAGAAAAATTTGGACATACTTTCTCCATATTTTGTTGCTGTTGAAGTCGTTTTATTTTTTCAAGATTTGTGCAATACAATTCATATAAGAGAAGGCCTGAAATATTAAAAAGAAAACTTGAAATATTTTATGTGTATACAAACGATAATATAAACATAGTTAAGTAATTTAAATTGATTTACCTCTTTTTTTACAATCACCACAATTTAAAGCATCTATTACCGAAAGTAAATCGTTGCAATATTTTGCCTTTATATCCAGTTCGGTGTCAGTCAAATCTAGTATAATAATTTAAGAAACTACCATGTTCAAATTAATAAATTTCAAATAAGATATACTATTATACACTCCGTACCTTCCCATGCAAGACCATCACTTCTGCCGTAACATGAAACAATTCGAAACTTCACGTCGATAATGAAATAATTGCTCCAGGGAACCACAACTGAAAGTTCTTTTTGCATAAACTTATAAATCTGACGTGGTGTTTTATACAGATTTTCTTCCATTATAGCTGCTATACCTGAACGAATCGAATATATCTAGTAAAAAAAGGAAAAAACAAAGTACCTGCCATTGAGAGAAATTTATTGAAGCCAAAAATTTTAGGATTCTTTTCTTGTTATTAATATTAAATTATTTGTATAACTGGTACAATGAAATCTTATAAATATAAAATTTGTTACATAGCATTATTTAACACCAAAGCATAAGTTAATAGAAGTTGTAAATGAAATCAATCAGAAAATATGCATCAAATTATTAGTTAGGAAATATAAATATGTAAATACCTGCCGGTAATTTATAGTTGTCGAGCATTTATTGCAAACCCAAGAAGTCCCTAAGTTAAGAGGATTTCGGGGTAATAATTCTCCGAAACATGAATCATGTGCACACAAAAGTGCACCTAATTTAGACCCAAACTCCTAATATCATTCAAAGATAGATGATCTCCTTTTGTTTCAAGTACCGATATATTTTTATGATTAAGGACAATGATCATTTAAAGATTTACCGTAGGATCGCTGCATCTTCTGCACGCACAAGAAAAGTGTTTGGTGAGGCTTAAAAAGTTCCTTCGTAATGTTGTATCCCAAAATAATCTCGTATAGGTCATAGTAATCTCCTCTCCAGCAGAAATCGGAAGGGCAGCGGTAACGTACAATCGAAATTCACCATCGAAATGGTGTCTCGTATTCGGTACACAACAATGATTTTGCAATGCTCCCATGGGATAAAGACTCCGTAAACTCGTGGAATGGTCTTTGTCATGGACACTGACCGTTTCGAACGAGTTCGTGTTGAAAACTTCGCATACTCGTTTCATCAACTCCAGATCCTTCTCGTTCGGAAGATTCGTTACGTTTTTTTTTAGCAGTTCGATCTTTTCATAGAAATTTTTTGTTTTATAATGGCACAGGATAAAACTGTAAAGTATTGTAAATTTCTCATGATATTAATGATAGTGATGATTATCGTATTAGTATCATATTAACTGTTCGAGAAGCAGTTGCGTTCCTATTTGAAGGACAGGCATAATTTTATTTGATAGTTTATTCATTATTATGTGAATATTAGTAATAACGTTTAGTAGTATTAAATTCGACTTTTAGCTCCGTGATTAATTTTTTACATCTTAAAACAAATAATATTTCATCCTTGAATACATTTTTTTTCTGTAAGTTCGTAGCATAATTCATACCTCGCGACTAGTAGTGAGAGTTTCATTATGCTGAAGAGCAGCCAAACATTTGCGTTGCTGTTCCGTCACAAAAAGCGCGCGGATCGGTACCACGGAAAGCAACAAGTCCAATGACCAATCAGTTCCACAAGTCGGTATCAACGACCTCAGATATTTACATTCGTAATTCACATGCATCGGTGAATTCTCACATTGGACAGAACAAACTGGAAGGCCGCAACCTCTGTCACATGGGAACAACGGACACTCATTCTTATAGCAACAGACGCACATTTGTAACTGTTTTCCCGCGCATCTCGGCCCGATCAGCAGAGGCGCATCGATAAAAATCAATTCGTTCTGTTCGATATCTCGAGTGGCGAATATACCACGACCACCCAACGACGAGTAACGAATAGTCCACGATCGTGGACCATCATGGAAAATCTTATTTTCTTTCAGATGTGTTACCAACAATTCTTCCACTTTCTCTGGCTCTACGATATCCTGCAAGCTCATGCTGAACGACTTCACTTGAAAGAGAACTCCGAGATGACTGTTGCCGACAGGACTGACCACCACAATGCTATAGTTAACATCTTCTCAGGGTATATATGCATATGTGCAGTTACGTAAGGCATCTGTATTTATGTACATATATATATTTCTGCGTTGCATTGAACTTCATATACGAGGATGTATTTATACATATATATATTTCTGCGTTGCATTGAACTTCATATACGAGGATGAACGAAGGGGAAAGGGGAAATGTTTGACACATTAATTGGATTACTGCCAAATTTGTGCATTTATATGGAAAACTAATATTTCGTATTGTTTACGAATAGTGCTATTATTATGCGAAGGAGTGGTACTCTCGACATTTTATATTCACCGGTGCGCGTTGTTTCTTTTTCTAAAATAGAATCGGTATTTCGTAATCGATATCCGCGACTTAATATGTCTTAATATGTTTTATAAATATATTTTAAAACATGAAAATAAAATTGATTTCTTACTGGTAACGATGTACCGATTTTGTATTAATGAATCGGACTAATTAATTATCGTATCACGATGATTCAAAAGAGAAGTAACGCGTGCAACACGATGCACGGAATAGTATTTTCGAAATTGAATGAAAATTATTATTGATGAAGCAAATTTTCACGCAAGCGTATATCGGATAGGTATTACCGTTTGTATAGTTGTAAGCGTTGCTAAGACTACCAGGTGGTCGACTACCTGCAGCAAATACTATCTAAAGTAAGAAGTATACATATGTATATACTCCGCTTGGATAGTTATATCATTAGGAAAAGTGTAAACCGATGGAAGTGGCGTATTATTCACGATTCACATTTCTTTAGTTCTTTTAATATCTAACTAACACATTGAGGTAATGAGAATGTAAAAAATGACCTATGAGTCGTGTAAAGGTACAAAACATATAATTAATTAATTAATATTAACATGCTACATGTCTCGTACGAAAGTTCTTAATCATTCATAATAAATGCATATGATTAGAGTTACGCTGTTTTCATTTAGAATGCGTTACGCAAGGATGATTACTGAAAAATCTCTGAAAAAGAGGACTCTTATTCTAACAACAGTCCTCCTCTTAACCATTGGTTTTTCACGAGGGTTAAATTGCAGCGGGGATCCATGCATGTATGGAATTTGTTTAGAGGACGCAAACAGGTACATAAAATAAATCATCGAGTAAAAAGTATGATTTCATTCCATGTTTTATTCGATTGAAGAAAAAAAAAAAAACAAAAAAGAATCACTAACCGCGGTTTTGAACGTCGTGCAAAGTATCTGTAATTAACATAAATAGCAAATTCATTTCGTGCGCATAATACAGCACTTATTCTTGCTACTGTATCGATGGATACACCGGGATCAATTGTGAGATCAATTGGGACGAATGTTGGTCTAATCCTTGTCTGAACGGAGGGACATGCAACGACGCTGTTGCAGCATATAACTGCACCTGTGCCGAGGGTTTTGTAGGTAATTCATGATTCCTCCGTTTACTTTTCGTTGCATGTGTAAGAAGAACGCGTTGACGTGTTAGCACACAAGGGTGATTAAATGATGTTTCGTGCCTCGACGTTTCTTGTACGTCTGTAAAATTGAGACCACTTTGTACTCGTTGACTACATAAATAATCAAATACTTTTATTATTCTACATTACGCTAGTGTATACTTTTAGGTATAAATTGCGAACAAAGGTACAGCGAATGTTCGAACCAACCCTGTCTGAATAACGGGATTTGTCTCGATTACGACGGCATCACATGCCAATGCCCTGATGGATATTCAGGTAGAAGAGTACCGAAGTATACACCGTGATTTGTCTTATTGTATTTTAAATTTCACTCCTTCCTTTAAGGTGATTATTGCGAAATCGATGCCTCGGTTTGTAACGACACAATATGTAAGAATGGAGGCGAATGCGTGGAAGGACCTGGATTCTCTTTCTTTTGCCGTTGTCCCGAAGGTATTGTTCGAATTACCTAAACAATTTCTATTTTAATTTTGATCAGTTAACTGAATTGAAGGTTTATCCTTTGTATGACAAAGGATGGACAGGTCGACTGTGTGATGAAGATGTCGATGAATGCGTTACATCACCATGCAAGAACGGTGGTCTTTGCATCAATATTCCCGCTTCGTATACTTGTGCTTGTCTATTCGGTAAATTGCAATTATTTATCCTCGCTAAAAGAATGACGTTTTGGCATGAACCTTATAAATGAAATGCAACAGTGTGTAAATTTCTAATGTTCTCCACAAGGGTATACAGGGAAAGATTGCGATAAAGCCATCGTACCCTGCGAAGAGAATCCTTGTAAAAACGATGCGGTATGTTTATTCGAGGACGAACGACCAATTTGTTACTGCGTACCGGACTATCATGGTGCGTTATGCGAGTTAAAGTACGACGACTGTGAATCCAAGTTCGCGAACTGTGAGAACGGAGGTACATGTATCGATGGTATCAACAGTTTCACTTGCGCTTGTCCAACGTTCTATAGTGGACCATTTTGCAATGTCCATAATCTTTCACCGACCACTTTCTCCACTTTCGGGGAAACTTTTGAGACTGATAGCGATAAAACGACCACTCCTTTCACATTATTTTCATCGAAATCATCGACACTGCCAGATAGCGATACATCATCGCTTGTGACCATTTCCACGACGGCGCAATCTTCGACTTCCTCCAGAAGTATCAGTCGTTTCTATACAAAATGGTACCCTTTCGCCGAGACAACGTCATCAACTTTAGACAGAAATGGCATTAACGTCTTTAGTAGTAGTACTGGTAGCAGCAGCAGTAGCAGTAGTAGCAGCAGCAGTAGTAGCAGTAGTGGTAGTAGTACAGAAACTACCCCAACATTTGTTACCGATGTCCCGTCGATGTATTCTGTTACGAGTAAAGAGGTACCTCAAACTGAAACGGTCTCGTTAGAACCCCGAACATTGTCCAGTGTTTTGAGTGAAGTTTCTACGATAATTTCGACAATAAAAGTCGAAACGGAATATTTAACACAAAAATCAATTCATAATGAAACCACTGCGACTGAAAGTATTTATCAAGAGAACGGTAATAAAACGTTCCCGTCTGCCGATGATACGTCCCCTTATGAAGCGAGTAGCACAATAGGATATGTTTCAAATACAGGGTAACAGTAATTTCTAACTTATAAGCAATTGCATAAAAGTAGTAATACGATGAAATAAACGTTCCAATAAGTTTTATTATCATTTAGGTATTATCCAAGTGTAACTATATCTGTTGAAAAAACGACCGAAGAACCTACGACGACAGGAAGTGAAGAAAGTAGCAATTCATTCTCTACTATAACATCTTCCTCAAGTTTTATGGAATTTTGGCAAAATAAAAGCTCAGAAACGATTACGCCAATGATAGAAGTGCCAAAGACCACACCTTATACGTTCACAGATAAATGGACGTCTACACAGCTAACAAGGTCTTCAAGTACCGAAGCGGACAGTTCTACATTTTCCCTCGCTAATAATATCTCTTCGCCTGTATCAAGTAGTAGCTCTACAAGAGCAATATTCGATGAAAATACTACTGATAGCGAACGTGAAGAATTCTCAACGAAAACTGAATCGTTAACAACTTCAAAAAGTCCCGTCACTCCTGAATGCCACGGAATTTTATGTTCAAGTACTACGGTACCACCTACGCGCAACGATAGCGATGCAAGTATTAAATTTCTTTTATATTCATTGAAATTTAATTTTTTATCGTTATATCGATAATAAAAATATTAATTTTATTCGTATAATTTCTAGTGCAACTGTTCACATCGTGAAAATTGTAAACCTGGTCCGAGTATAAAACGAGCGGCTTTCAATGGAAAATCTTACGCAAGGCAACATGTAGACGTAGAAATTTCAAATGGCAATAATGCAACGCTTAGAATTTTCGTGAGACTTAGGACAAGTTTCAAGGATGGCATTATATTACACGTCTATTTCGACGATGAAAAATATGCCTTAGTATATTTGGAATATGGTTCTTTAAAGTTTCAATTCTCCTGCGGACTCGAAACTATGCTACTTGGCGAGATTGATTCGCCCATCGATAATGGATATGAAGCGGATATTGATACAAGGTAAAATAGTAGTATTAAAATACAATATATTCTCGTTAAATGTATTTATTATATTTACTTATTTTATACATGCAGGTTTCAATATTTTATGAGAAATGAAACCAACAAATGTTCCGCCCGTTTATTAGTAAACGGAACAACGGCCGTTAGCGGTGAACAAATTTTGCCATTACGTGGAAATCTTCCACGGCAAGCTAATTTACATCTAGGCGGTATACCAATGGTATTTTCGCACTATTTTGCTCATGTCTCAATGGGATTTACCGGATGTATGGATTCTCTTAGGGTTCGTTTTATTTTAAAACGCATTTCAAAGTACTTGAGAAGTTTGAAATTACAGTTCATTTTATTATATCACAGATAAACGATATACCACGTCATTTTATCCACGATTCTACAGAAACATTTCAAATCGAAGATTGTATATCGTTTCTATGTTTGTCAAATCCGTGTCAAAATTTCGGTGCGTGTGAAGAAATAAATGGCACAGTGCGTTGTAGATGCATAGCCGGGTAAGATAATTTTGTAACTCACATTCAAACACGCGACATTAATAGATATCACAAAACAGAGTATTGTTTAATTTGACAGATATACGGGTTCGTTTTGCGAGCGTTCAACGTGCGATGAAAACCCTTGTGCCTTAGGTGCAACTTGCATCAGTTCACCAGGTACAGGCTTCGTTTGCGTTTGTCCACTTGGAACTCATGGTCTTCTGTGCGAAGAAGGTAATACATATTGTTACATATGTTTGCATTGAGAAGGAAGCATATAATTATTTTTTGTCGTAAATATCCAGATACTGTTATAACTCGACCATCATTTTCGGTACTTGTACCCGGATTCTCATCGTACATTGCTTATGGAGTGTCGAATTCTATAAAAGATGCCATGGAACTAAAACTAAAGGTTATACCACGTACTTATGAACAAATATCTTTGATAGCTTATTTAGGACAAAGCGGGTCACGTCGAGATTTATCGGATCATCTTTCTATAACATATGTTCGTGGTTACATCATGTTAACGTGGGATTTAGGAGCTGGTAATATGTATTGATATTTTAGATATTTGAAGATTTTATGATCCTTTGGAATTTCATAAAAATGTGTTCCAGGTGTTCGTAGAATATTTACAAGTGTTCCTCTGAGTGCTGTAGCAATAACAGCAGCAGCAAGCAAAAGTTACATAGCTTATACGATCCGAATTGGGAGAAGAGGTCGAGAAGCATGGCTTGCGGTAGATGGCATAGGCAATGTAACTGGGCAAGTGGTAGGATCCATGACGCGACTTGATGTATCACCAATACTTTATATTGGTTCGTTCTTTTATATTCTTTATATATCCTCATTTAATAAGATATATGTTAAAAAAAGAATATGTTTTACGAAACATATATAAAGAATATGTCTTGATATTTTATGTCTTTAAATTATCATTGCAAAACTTATCAAGTAACTATTATTACATGAACGATGTATAATTTTAATATTAAAAAAATACACTTTCAAATATCGGTATTACTATTTAGGTGGACATAAGTCAAAAAACTTTGAATCTTTACCCCATGATTTACCTCTTCATACTGGATTTTCTGGTTGTATATTTGACATTGAATTACGCACAGAAAGCGCAATTTATCCAATAACTAGTTCCAGTCCTGCAATAGGTCGTGGGGTTGGTGAATGTCATCGGAATGAATGCATCCGTCATTCATGTAAGAATGGTGCAGTGTGTTTAAATCATGGTGCTACATATAGGTGAGTTACTCAAAGTTAATGCAGTCTTTAATATCTACTTTGTTTATAAAATATTAATTAATAATTTCAGCTGTATTTGCACAAAAGAATGGATGGGATCTGACTGTTCCATACCAGTAGAAGCATTATCCTCTGTTGAATCATCCTCTTGCCATACTTGAAACTAGTAAAAATATTCTTATGGTTCCATTTCATCTCAATACATTTTTGTACAACATTCATTTCACTAATTTTGATATCTTGACATTTGTATTATCATTTTTTGGTTGATATGATACTGAGTAAGAGTTCAAGTGCACAAATAAGATAGCTGCAGCTAAACGAGTTTGTAAATCGTACTTATTATGATCATGAAACCATTCTACAGATCCCCAGTGAGAAACCTATAATTAAAGGAAAAATAATATTAAGAATTAGAATGTGCTAATTGTAAATTTTTGAATATAAATTACTGTACATACTTGATAATCTTCCTCTAAACGTGACTGTCTTACTGTTTCTTTTATACTAATTACTCTCTCTGCTGCAGCTAGAGTAAGAATTACAGATTTTATTGCATCCACTCCATACATAAAACCTATAAATAAAATAGTATTCTAACATTCATCATGTTTGTACATACTAACAATAAAGTTACCATGAACTGCATTATAATTGTAAGACATTAAATGTCTTATCAATACTGCTTTAGTTTCTGAAGGAACTGTGGGAGCTTGTATACTTTGAGTTTTCATTATATTCACAGCATAATTATCACAAAACCACTGTATTAGTGGATCCCAATTTTTCATTTGTAACTTATATAATTCATCATTTTCCTGTAATACAATTGTTTTCTACTTAATGAGTGACTTGTGCTATGTAAAAAATTATATATAATATACCTACATTTGAATGAAATAATATTGTATCCATTTCCAAACAATTCACAATATAATTTACCATATTCTCTTTTGTATGATTGTGAGGATTATCTATTACAGTATTACACAAAGCTGTCTATAAAATTGAATACATAAATATGCTGTTAAATTATATTATATTTAGATGTTGTTTGGAAGATAAATGTACCAAATGCATATTGCTTCTGTCCACAATTTCTTTCTGCATATCCCATTCTGCTGCTACAGCCAAAGCTAAAGGCTCACTGTTCACTTGAAATATCTTTCCTTGTGGTGTTTTTAGTTTTCTTTGATCAAGTGTAATTTCAAACTTTCCATCACTTGACAATATATTTGTTTTTCGATAAAATCTCTTCACAGTGGCTAAAAAATAATTCATACACCACATAAAGACTAATTCACTGATAAATCATTATATTTTAACATTTTAATCCGATTATTAAAAATTTATAAAAATATAAAAACAAAAAATAAGATGCATTTTTAATAAATATTAAAATACTATCTGTTACAAAATTATTTCATTTCTTTTCCAAACACGTTGTACAAACACACTCAAAGTAGCTATAGCGTTCACTATTGTTAGTGATCAATATTATACAATCAAATATATTGTTTTGGAATTATGTACATTTTTTCTTAATTAATAATTTTATAAATCACATGAATATTTATTTGAGGCAATATTTAGCCATTTCTTAAACAATCATTGTACTGAAATAAATCACAAAAATATACGTAGAAAAGTAAATTATTTTATGCTACATATTTATATCTGTTAATAAACAAAAAATTTTATGAAAACTTACTACAATTGTATTAAATAATTACAATTTAATTAAGCATGGAATGTTAGTAATATTTCTCCATTAAATACTGCCCCCTATAGAATTACGAAATATAGTTACCATAAAAAAAGACTTGAAGTGTGTAGATTATGTGGGTGGATCCGGTGGATCTTATGTATGTTTAAAAGGTGCAGATAAGTAGCACAGCAATAAAGTTAGGAAAAATAATTTTGACCATAAAACCGTATACGAATTCTAAAATCATTTATAACTTTTTACAAATATTGAGTCACATGTGCAAAAACGATTAAAATTAACCAAAAATGAAAAGTTATCATTTTCTTTGGTTCTTTTTGAACGTATACATAGTGTACACTTTTAACTTAGAGCCGAGAATACCTGTTATCAAAAAAGGACTAAACGGTTCTTATTTCGGTTATTCAGTAGCCGAACATCAAGAAACTTCTGATGATGGTACAGAAAAACCAAAAAGTTGGTATGTACTATTTATCATATAAAAATTCTATAGCAACAATGTATACTTATGTTGTATATAAAATGTTATCTTGCTAATATGTTTCTAATTTGAAATATAAACAATCCTTGCCTTCTTATATTTTTTAATTTTAATCTATTTCTTATCAATTATTATTAAACTACTTTGTCTATTTGTTACCTATTTAATAATAAGACAAAATCTATGTAAGTAATAAACAAATAATTGGAAAGATTTTTGTCACATAAAATTCTTCTACTATTTAATACTTATATCAAATATAATCTATGTGGTATATCAAAACTATTTTATTTTATTTGTATATGTTAGTTAAGGATTATATTAGAAACATAATAAATTATACATTTTATAGGATGTTAATTGGTGCTCCCCTGGGTCAAAATAAACAACCGAAAACTAATAAATCTGGTGCATTATGGCAATGTCCTTTAACAACAAACAAAACAGATTGCACTCAAGTAATCACGGATGGACGATTAAGTATGTTTTGAGTTATAAAATAAAATTTTTTCACATGATTAATACAAACATTGTTATTCATTAGCTAAAAAATTTATTTCCTTGTTACACCAAGATATTCATTTTTCTATATTAATTTTATATCAATGATAGTACTAGTAGTTTTATGTTTGACAGAACCAGATATTGGAAAATTTGTTATGCTTCAAATAAATTACAATTAATTTATATTAATTATATGTTATTATTAAAGCTTATACATATATTATATTTTTTTAATTTTTAGTTATAGTATATTTTGTACTATGTACAACATGATTTTGATGTAATTAGTGTGCATGTTACTTTTGATGTTCTTATTTGATAAAGTCATTAAGTTATTATGCTTTATTTTATGTTATACATATAATAAGATTATTTATTTGTTAATTTATGTATTGGTTAACGAGCAGCAGAAGGGAGTCTGTATGACACAAGTAAGTCGTTGAATGGTGTTATTGAATGAGCAATTTCTTAATTTTTATCGAATATTTTATTGTAATTTCCCATATGTTTGCATTCAATTGTTACACTCATTTTTATATTAGCATGATATTTTAAATTATGATCTAAATATTATATTCTTGCATTATTTGTATTATGTAATTCTTTGAACCAAATATATTAGCCAAATGTACTATTAACTGTCTACCTTTCGAATTTGCAACTATATTCTTACTAACTTACAGAATATTTTCATATATCTGCATATTTATGATATTCAAGTTATGCACAAAATAAAAAAGTAAAATTGCATATGTTTTTATTTATATTATACATAATGTATTTACTTGCTGTTGCTTTTTAACAATTTTTCTTATGCATATTTTTTATTTGCCACTGCATGAAATATTATATATAATGATTTT